TGACTGTGAACGGGGATGTGGGGGGGACTTGGTGAAGGGGGGAGCCTAGTAAACATAATGTCCTTCATGTAACTGTAGATTAATGATACCAAAAAAAAAAAATTTCTTAGGCATGAGTCAGATGTCAATCCACCGTGTCCCTTAGTTTTGGGGGATACATACAAGCCTCACTGAAGCCCCATTCTCCTTTGACTTTGGATGAAAGGGGAGGTTTCCAATGTGTGTGTGTCATGGTACATAGCAAAGCAGTTCTTACAAATCCTTCTTAATGAATGTTAGATACATCTGTTACATCTAGAAGCTATTCGAGTTCTTGCAGTGGTGATTGTAACAAGTCAGCGAGACCCATATGGGAGGCACATGCTGTAGGGCACTGCAGGTCTGGGTAAGGACTCTGCCGTTCCCTCTGAGGGAGATGGGGGCCCCTGGAAGGTGTGGGTAAGAGTGGCCAGGACAGACTTGTGCTCTAATAGATTTGCTCTGTGACAGTAGGTGAGGTGAGGTCAATGAGATCAATAGGAGACACTCACAAGTGTCCATCTGCCTTCAATGAACGGAGCTCAGGGGTGGAGCAGTTGGGTGGCAAGAGGGTGTGAAATCTAAGTGTTGATTGAAGGCAGACCAAGGCTTGCTGGTGGCGTGGCCGTGGAGTTGGAGAGAGAAGAGTCGAGGGTGAGCCTGGGGTTTGGAGCCTGAACAGCTGAATGCTGGAATTGCCTGTATCTGAGGCTGGGGTAGCTCTGGGCTTAAGGGGAGCAGGTCTGAGTGGGGGTGCCAGCTTAGCCAAGACCTGGTATCACTTGGCTGGGGTGTTTGACCTCAGCCTTTGGGGATTACAACTGGGGGTCTGCCTCGTAGGGACTTTTTAAGTGATAAACCAAGATTTACAGGGACATACATGTATACTCATGTATATGTGACTGTGTATGTATATATAAGACTTTATATATTTGAGAAGTATTTAGATACATAAATGACTATATTAAATTATATATAGTATTTAAAACGGTTGTTGGCATAGAGCCTTTTTTGATGGTGAGTTGAGATTTTCATGAGGTATATATAAATGAAATTTCATATAGTATTTAGAAGAGTTGCTAACATATAGTCAGTATTTTAATGATTAAATGAGATTTTCATATCCATATGCAAGATTTTATATATATAAGATTTATGTAAATGAGATTTTATCTCTATATAAAATATTTAGAGCAGTTGCTGGCACATAGTCCCTAGTGATGAAATGAGCTTTACGTACGTATGCATGAGATTATATGTGTATTAATAAATCTATTTTCAATGTGAGATTAGACACACACACACACATACAACTTTAGGACCGTTGCTGGCATGGTGCTGCTGCTGAATCCATAGTAGCTTACTTGCACTCATGCTGGTAAATGCCAGAGCAGAGGCTGGCACACGCCAGTCAAGGTACTCAGTGCAGGTGCATTTTGGCATGAGCACACGCATGCCTGGGTCCAGAAGAAAGTTGGGCAGGATCTGACAGAGTCCCTCTGGTCACCTCAGATGAACCCCTGACTCTGCTGGTAGCCAAATGGAGCACTGCCCTTGCAGAAGCAGCCGGTGCGTCCCCCTGCCGCCCGGTCTCCTGGCCTCCCCTCCTGGGGCTCACTGTACCTTTCTCAAGGCTGCTTCAAGGATTAAATGAGACCCACGTGATTCCCCTCAGGGATCCCCTAAAGCAGCCCCATCAGATGCTCTTGGAGTCTGAGGTGTCCAGTGAGGTCTGTAAGTCCCCATTCTCCAAACCCCTTCCTGCGAATGTGGAGGCAGTGGCCCTAGACCAGGGATGGGCCGAGAGCCTTCCCAAGTTGGGGCGAGACTGACAGCCCTTTGAGCACTGAGTCAAGGAAGTGAGCATCCAGGAGCAGACAGGTCTGCGCTGGGCACCGATCTGTGCTGGCTGGCTGAGAGCCAGCGTCCAGTGACAGAATGGACAGCAGGGACAAGAGCCACCAGGGGAGCTTCAGGATGGAGGTGGGGGAGGAGGGCCCTGTGCACTTGCATGGGGCAGCTGCTGCCACCTTACCCATGGAGGCAGAGGGGACCTTCCGGGCGCCAGGCAGGCTGGAAGCACCAGTGTGAGCATGAATTGATGATAATGTTCCCTCCAGGACTGTCAATTTTTAAGAAACATGGGGAGATTTTGCTGAGACAAGAAACATGGAGAGATCAAAGGCAGCAATGTTAAAGATTCTTAGGTCTCAGTGGAAAGAGCATGATCTGAAGTCAGACAGCCTTGTGTTTAAATCTGATTTGGTTTCGATGAGTAACACAATCTTGATTTCCTAATCTGTACAATGGGCACAAAAACTACTACTGCAGGTTATTATGAGGCTTATGTGAGCTAAAAAATGCAGACAGTGCCTGGAAGAGGGCTGGCATCTGGTAGGTGTCCCATATATGTTGAGTCCCTGACATCTGCCTTCTCTTTTCCATGAAAGCAATGGAAACCTGACTGACGAATGAGGGTGGGTGGTAAGCACCTCCACTCTGTCCTCAGAGACTGACATTCAAGCTGGTGTAATTCGAGAAGTGCCGGGAGACCCCACCCACATGGGAAATCCCCAGCCAGATGGTGACTTGTGGGGTGTAACTTAATAACCTCCTGGATTAGAAGCCTTAAAAA